AAATTGACTAAGACACTGTAAGTCTACATCATGAGTGCTATTCTGAGAAATGAACTAAATGCACAAATATACTTATCACACTACTAAATTTATAGAAGAAAATGTATGTTGTGAAATATCTATTTAAAAGCTAAATATATAAATATAGTGAATAACCAATTTTATGATGCCAGTGAAATAACCATTAATAATCATATAGTTGAATATTTGGTCATATGAAAAGTTCAAAATATAAAAACAAGAATATAAGATGATTATCATTGAATAATCTCAATTATGTTAAATGACTTATTTTTAAGAAAAGAAATGCCTGTAGCTTTTAACTCTGCAAAGAAGAGTAGAATAGTAATGATCTACACCATGGAGGGTTTCATGAAAACAAGAAGTGAAGTGGGATACAAATCTTTGGTAAGACATCAAGTTGAGTTTACCTATGTCACAACTTTGTTTATAACTGACCATATTCACAGCCTCAAAACTATGATACAATTAAGAGTGAGAACTTTTCAAGGTCATGCTTCTGATGTGAATCAGTTCAAAGATGGCTGGCAATTCTTCCAATGCAAAGTCAGGCAATAGGTGAAGCAGTAGAGAGAGAGACCTTGGAGTACTGGGGAATAGAATAAATAGAAATTCACTAACACTGCTGAGGTGTGATGGTTAATGGCTACATGGGATATCTTTTCTGTCTTGAATAACATCTACAAGTACTCTTGGAAGGCAACTTTATTCTCTCTAAAGGTAAAATCCTTGAATAAGGCAGTTCCTGAACACGACAAGAACAAGGATTATCATTTATTTATTTGTTTTTTGCTTTATTCCAATTTGTTTTGTTTTATCTACTTACATTTAACATATAAATGCTGTATTTCTCTAGAAATGTGGGAATTGGTCAAATTTCAATGCATAAATTGATTTGAATAATTGAAATAAATGTCTTTGAGTTTTTCTTTCTTTTAAAAGCACAGGTAGTATTAGATGAGCCTGTCTCCTGCAGACATTCATGATTATTTATTTACAAGAACTGGCAGCCCATTTGGCATTTTTCAATAGGTAGAGTAAGATGGTTTTATATCTCAGAAGACTTTTGATTTAAGTGACAGACAAAGCAATTCAGACAGAACAGTATTAACGAAGAAGACTGCTAAATCTTCATAGTACTAAAGGGTTATGAACAATACAATATTGATGTTGGATTCTTCATAACTTTTTAGCCTTTCACAGTTTCTTAATTAATCTTAAATTTTGTGGGTTCCATTTTGGGTGAATCTTTAGTAAAATTTTAAAGAACAAATGAGTTTTTAGAAGACACTTTTATTATTAATTTTATAAAAGGAAAAGAAAGGCTTACATTTTCCTGAAAGACGGTACATTTCCATTAGTCTTTTAAAATCAGGTTCTAGGGACTTACATGTCAGTTTAAAAGGGCCAAGAATATTTGGAACAAATCTAGAAATTCTAGAAATTTGTAAAGAAAAATGTGATCTTCCTCACAATTTGGCCTAAGGCTGATCTCTGATTTTGAATGACCTCCAAATATAGATTTTCTACCATTTGCCATAATAAAGAATACAATGTTAATAGCTGGTAAAGTAAGTTTGGGTACATTATTGATTAACTCTATTGTTCACTCACTGCCTTGAAAATATTTAGTTACATGATTCATTCACTTTGCACTTAAGCAGTTTGTGAATTATGTGACTAACCATGATAGGCCAACCGTGTGAATGATAAATTTAATGAATAGAGTTTTCTGATGTATTTTATCTTCCAAGTACATTATCAAAAATGAAATGTCTCTAATCCTAAGGAAATATAGTGTAACTCTTGGCAGCCTACTACTAGAACATATTTTTATTCATGAGGGAACAGGGCAATGCTTGCTTTTTAGAAAGTAATATGCTTCTCTCTATCTGTGAAAAAATTTGTTATCATCATATCTATAATGGAAAGCAAATAACATGTCTTACCATAAGTTTACATTCCTGGTAGCCATTACCATAATTGAGGGTATTGAAATGGTGGAAAATATTAGTGTGTAGAAGAATGGCAGAAGAGGATGCAACCTGAAGAGGAAACTGGGCTTGTTGACGCCCCAATGTTTTCCGGTTCATGTGTCTAAGAATAGGGACACATTTCACATGTTTGTTTTTCCTCCCTTTTGTATGAGTATAACCACTCTAAGTCTTTGTCAAAATGAGAGAAAAACAAACAAACAAACAAACAAATACAATATCACCAAGAGCCTATGATAGCAAATCAATCTGATTAACAACCAGACAAATTAGTGAAAAATGTTACATGATTATCTGAATTCATTGGTGGTTTGACAAAACTGATGAATTAATGCAATGGCAGCTTCATAGAGAAGTGATGTAATCAACGGGTAAAAGGCAGAACTCTAGATAAAGTATGTAAAGGATGGTAATTTTTAGGTGCCACTTAATCATGTCATCAAGCCGGAAGATTATTATATTATCTTCCAGAATGCTTCATAATAATTCCTATGTACTTGGCATTAAAAGTGCAGAGCGCCTGTATTCCACTGTGATTATTTTGCATTTTACATTGCACCTAAATCTGTCATGCTCTATTTTGTGGGGTGCGAATGCAATAACCCTCTAATGTGTATCACTTTTGGCCTACTTATCCAAGTCCATTCTGCAGGAGTCATTTAAAATCATCTTTTTTATAAACACAAAGCAGAAAATGTTAACTCTCCTTATCAGAATGCTCAATGTCTTGTCCAAAAGATCTAATTCAAAAACGTCAAAGTGGCCTACAAATCTGTGTATGTTCAGAATTCTGCCTGTGCTCTGTTTGGCAGTACCACTCCAAGTTTTTTTCTTACAAGGCTCCAATTTTACCAATGTGCCAGTCTTCCTAAAAGAGTCTTAGGACATTCTGCTTCCTAAAACTTCAGCTCACCTAACTCTGCCTGTCTTTAAATACCATACTGTAATGAGTTTAAGAGAAACCTTCTCTGACTCCCTAAACTAGGGTTGATTTTGCTATATGTTTGTAGATTAACCTATATTTCTCTCCTGGCAACAGTTACCACATTTCTAATGATTTATTCAATTTCTACTGCTTGCTTTTAAGATCCATGCTGGAAGAACTGGGTATATTCTCTTCACTCATTAATCCATATTTTTTATAACTTTTATGGCTATGTATGCAACAGTTATAGAACAAATATTTCAAGGAACTCATACACTAATGAAAAACAAGCAAATAGAGAACTTAATAATTTGGTTATCAAAATATTTGTATATTTAACCTAGCTATAATATAGCTATTTAATTCCAAGCTATTTAAATTATCCATTGAAGAATGCAGTTTAATTCCCTAGGAAGCAGTGATACTTTTTTTTGCTTCAATGCATATAAATCAATTCATTCATTTACATGTGAATTCATTCATTCATTCATTCAGCTAATATTTATTGATCATCAAATGCCAAAGTCTGGAGCCTTAGGTATGCATTACTGAATATTGAGTTTTCCTTTTGAATAGCTAATTGTACAGTGGAAGAGATGAATCAGTACCAAGCAATTACTATACGATTTCATCATTTCTTGAATAAAAGAAAATATGCTAGTTATGGGACCACTTTAGCTTTCCATCAGTTGTTTCAGTATTATGAAGCTACAGCCTCAGAGCTTACTTTCTGCTCACATTTTATTGAAAAAAATGGATAAACAATCATAAAAAATTAAAAATGATAGCCTGAGATAAATAACACTCTAAACTGGATTTGCTTGCCTCATACCATCCTCATCAAACTCACATCATGCTTAACAACTGTCTTCATCATTTGATTGCATTTCCTCCCCGTAAATAGTAGGAATATTATTCTTTGCTTCATTACTTGATCTCAGATACAGTTAAGTTTTTTTCCTGACACTAGCAGATCATCAGGGAATGGTGTACAATATTTGGATATTCCTATGAATATATATTTTGCATGATTACAAAAATCCCTTATTTTTTTTTCTAATTTTCAGTGTGTAAATAAGAAATCCTTATTTATTTTCTAGTTTTGTCAAACAATTTATAGCTTCTTAAATAGTCATGTTCCTAAAAAGTTACTGACATAAATCCAAAGCACCAACATTGTTTTAAGTAGAAACTTCTGGTGAGTTTGTCATGGTCTTACCTCCAAGAAATACATTTCCCAGGGAACTAAAGAAACTAATCTATGGTTATTAGTTTCTTTACTAACTGAATGTTTTCCATGATGAGTTTCTTTAATCTTAACCCATCCTAACATTTTACTTGTCTTTTTTTCTCACAATGAAACTGAGTTGACATCTTTATTGAGTTGTTACAACAATACCTGGATGTTTTCTTTAGGGATTACAACTAATTTAGAACCCAATTGTACATACACATAATTTATATTGTTCTGTTATATGTGTCATATCTTGAATGAGTCTACTGCGAATCATCTGCCATCCAGTACCAATTACCCAGCTTTGTTCGTTCTTGCCCGGGTTATGTAAAAGTCTGACTTGTTTGACTTAACTTCAGTAATTGTATGTCAGTAACAGATTGTGAATGTTTTTATTTCATTTACTTTCTCTTCCAGGTCATTTATATATATATATAATATTACTGCGTGTGGTGTATGTGTGTTGTATTTGTAAAAACAAGAGTACTTAGAGGCTAGTGTTCTGTTTAGGCTCTTCAGGCACATGCCTGAAAGTTTCCTACAAGTTTCTGATGGAATAATTACTCTGTTAATTTGTGTTTTTATTTGACCAATATACAGGCAAAATCAATTCAACTCACTAGATAAGGATAAAATATGGTATTTAGGTGTTCATATGAATGTGTCTTTTGTTTGATATAGGAAAAACTCCCTTAAATTGTATCTAATTTGTATTATATAAATAAGAAAACACTATTTTCTGAGCATTTTATGTTGAATTTATTAATCCTTTTTATTCAATAATTTTTCATTCTTTCATTTTTATTCATGAAACAAATATTTACTGTATACCTAGTGTATTTCAGCTACTATGTCAAATGCTGGCTATTAGTGGTGAAGAAAGAAAATGTGGACTCTGCTTTAGCATCTAATGTAAAACAAAAACAAAACAACAAAAACAACACCATAAATTGTAAATTGAGGTAAGTAGACATAAACAATGCATACTTGAATGCTTTGGACACAAATAAAAACTATCTTTTTATAGAATGATCTGCAAAAGCTTCATTGAAGAGATAATATTTAAGATAAAAAAGAAAAGATAATAACCCACCTAAATGAAGATTTTGGATGTTAATAATCCTGGATGCAGAAATAGCGTTTGCAATGGTCCTGAGCTGGAAAATAATTTTTATGTCGAAGAAAATGAAAAGAGAATAGTGTGCCTAGATAGCAAAGGTGGCAAATATTTTAGTTGAGAATGAAAGACAGGTTGCAGTCAGATTTTCAAAAAATTATATAAATCATTGTAATAACATTGAAATATGTTCTTAGCAGGAAATTGGTCTCATTTGACCAATTTCTCGCTTTTTTTTTTTTTAAACAATCTTTTATTACCAAACCCCGCATAGGGCCAACTCTAACCCGACTAACAGCAAAACAGCATCACTAACAAGATCAAGGATGGAGGTGTAGACCCAATAAAGATTATCTCTTAAAAAAAGGATTGGGGAAAAAATATATATCTGCATGAGTACTTCTTAAAAATCTAAAACATTCCAGTGTTGCAGAAAAAAATATCCCAAAGTGATTTCAGTTGGTAAAAAAAACAGCACTTGACAGTCCTTGGTGCCCTAAAAACCCCAACTGGAGATAACCCACGGAGAAAATCATCCCGACCCCATAAAGACAAAATTCCCTCTTCTCTTCCTTGTTCAAATTCCACTGCTTATTCCACCAACACTCAAGGGATAACAAGACCCAGCTTACTCCCCTCAGCCCATCTGAGAGGGCTCACAACAATCTTAGCATCTTCACCTCTACTACAATCAGGAAATTGAGCCCTAATTTCTGGGCCAGATTCTGGAAACTTGCAAAACATCCCTATGCTTTGAGGGGCCTGAGGACTCCTTCAAAGATCAAGGGGGCAGTGGAACAGGCAGACTGGCATGCCTGCCCTGCAGGGCTGAGACAAGGGACGTTTCTAAGCAGTAACACCCCAACACTTGTCACTGAAACAGGCAAAACTACGAACAGCAGGCACCAAACTAGGGCTGTGACTAAAAGGTGCACATCTCCTCGCGTTCACCATAAAAGGCAAGGGAGACAAAGACAGCCAACTGAGTATTTGACCTCATCTGTCTTGTGACAAGTTGGCATATTTTAGGCCGAAGCCATGTTGCAGAGAAAGACATTTGGTCAAAGGGTAGCCTTTGCTGTTTGTGGCTGCTTTTTGGAAGCTTTTCCTCCTTATGCAGAGTACTTAAGAATTAATAGGAAAATTTTCAATGGAACTTCGTAACTGACAAAAACGTTAACAGCAGCTTCTCAAAAGAAACCATTGGAGACAGGCCGCCTCTCAGCTACTGACCACAGCTCCTTCCAGTCGATGGGCTTCTTGCCAGTCTCAGAAAAGTGTCTACATCCAAAGAACCCTCTATACACTGACAACGGGGAGGGATGAGCCGTCTGCAGGACATGGTGACGCTTCCTATCAATGGCACTGCCCTTCTTCTGAGCATAAGAGCCCCAGAGCAAGAAAACAAGGCCATTCGTGTTCTTATTTAGCCAGGACACAACTGCATCGGTGAATTGCTCCCAACCTCTCTCCTTATGAGAGTTGGCTTGATGTGCCCGAACCGTGAGAACAGCGTTGAATAGCAGAACACCTTGCTTGGCCCACCCAGATAAATCTCCATGGCCAGGATGGACAAAACCCTCTATGTCTGTAGACAGCTCTTTATAAATGTTCTCCAAACTGGGCCAAGGCAGAACAGGCCTTTGAACACTAAAGCAGAGTCTGTGAGCTTGATTAGGTCCATGATATGGATCCTGTCCCAGGATGACAACCTTAACATCTTTTATGTCACACATCTGGGTCCAGGTGAATACTTGGTGTTGGGGTGGATAAACGGTGTAATGCTTTCTTTCTTCTGCAACAAATCCCATTAGCTTGATAAAATACGGTTTCCCGGAACTCCCCGCTGAGGTGCTTCTTCCAGCTCTCCCCAAAGCCCACGGGTACGTTGCGGGCGGCGAGTCTGAGGAGGGCCACGGTCTTGTTCCTCTGGATCCGGTCCAACTGCTCCGTGCTCAGCGGCGAGGAGGGTGGCGTCCCGGGTTCATCCTGCTTGGCCCGGGCCTTCTTGGCGGGGCTGGCCTGCAAAGAGTCCCCGCAGAGGCGGCTCCAGAACAGTAGCGGCCCCTTCCCAGACGTCCTCAGCTTCCGGCCCAACCCCCAAAGCCCAAGGCAGAAGCTGCCCATTTGTGGAGCAGGACTCAGAACCAGACAATAGGAGCCAGGGCTAGGCCTGGTCCGGGAATTGGGAGTTAGGTTCTAAACTGGAGCGAAAAGAGGGCCCGGGAGGCGTCCCCGCGAGGTCATCAGGTTATTCTTACTGCTTTTGAAGAAGGAAATGGCAGAGGAAATAAGCAATAGTGGGAGGGCCAGTTAGGGTTAGAAAGATGATATAATAACTCTGGGAAGGATGATGGATGAAATTGGTTAAAAAGACTCGTGATGAAAGAAAAAGATTGAAGATAAAATTATGAGATAGAAATTACAAAAGATATTGATGAGCTATGAGAAGAGTAAACAAATAGGAAGAATAAAAAAGGATCCCCTGTTTTCTGACTTACGCGATTCAGTGGATGGTGGTATCCATTTACTGAGAAGGGAAGACCAACTTACTGGAGAGTCTAGAAGTGAATTTGGAAATTCTTAAGCAGGGGAGCTGAAATACTGTAAAATAAATACTTTAATTTTGAATATTTTAAATTTGAAAAATGTTCTATCCAATAGAGGAAGTCAAACTGAACCAGGTAGATATGCACTTTTCTAATACAAAGAAGAAAACTGAAATAGATAATGATTTGAAAGACATGTGCATGGAATTTTATGGAAAAGTGTAGTGAGCCATCCGGGTGCGGTGGCTCATGCCTGTAATCCCAACACTTTTGGAGACTGAGGTAGTTGGATCACCTGAGGTTGGAAGTTGGAGACCGGCCTGGTTAACATGGTGAAGCCTTGACTCTACAAAAAATGCAAAAATTAGCTTGGCATGGTGGCAGCTGCCTATAATCCCAACTACTCAGGAGGCTGAGGAAGGAGAATTGCTTGAACCTGGGAGGCAGAGATTTCAGTAAGCTGAGATTGTGCCACTGCACTCCAGCCTGGGTGACAAGAGTGAGATTCCTTCTCAAAAAAGAGAAAAAAAAAAATGTATCATGGGAGAGACAAGCTGAGAATTAGAAAATAAGAGGAATGTTGATATTTAGAGTCTAGGTAGAGGAGAAAAGTGATCTATTACCTGTTACAGAGTGGAATATGAGAATAATGAACTGTATCAAATAACATAATGATTAAAAATAGATGAATACCGAGAAATATTCTTTAAATGTGGCAAATATTTGGACACTGAAAAAACAGCAGTTTAAATTGAATGGCAAGGAGCAAATTAGACTTGAGTGGGGTGAAGTGTGAATATAGGTAAAACGGAAGAGGAGGTGAATATAGACAGTGATTCTTGGAAGTTTGTCTATGAAGAATAATCAAAAAGTACAGCTGTCGGGGAAATGTGAAAAGGTTATGGGACTTTGTTTTCAACTGTTGTAGATACTGGGCTCTTTTTCTAAAATAATGAGAACGATTTGTTAAAGATAAGAAAATTTCTGATGCAGAAGAAAGAAATGATACCAAAGCAAATTAAGTCCATGAGAAAGTAAAAGGAAATAGAATTCACAGCTCAAGTGGAACTTTGAAAGAAATACTTTTTCCATTAAAACAGAAGAAAATGATGGAAGTAAAGGTATGCTTGGAGACTTAACATGGAAAATAACGAATTGGCTAAGAATGAGGGGAGAAATACATTTGAGGTGAGAAAATAAGTAGAAAAGCATGGTAGGAAGACTGGATGGGTGTAGTACTTGCTATCTCTACAATCATTCATTTGTGCAGCAACATTGCACAATATTTGAATGTCAACTACGTGGCAGGCACTGTCTGACTAGATGGGAAAGAGTGGTAAAGAGACAGACAGTAATACCTGCTTCTATCATTACAAATTAAAGCAAAATATATGTGGTCTGATTTTTGCAGCTGAGGTGATTTTCTGCAGTTACTCAAGGGTAGCCATCGAGAAGGTGAATGTTGAGGACCCTTGAAAGTGGGGTGGATCTCCAGATCTGTGATTCCCTGATGTGTCTAAAGCTCACTTACTAATTGATGTCTCCCTTAATCATGGAGGATGATATTTTTAAATACATGTAATTTGGTTTGGGTCTGTGTTTTCACCAAATCTCATGTCCAGTTGAACTCCCCAAAGTGGAAAGAGGGACCTGGTGGGAGATGGTTGGATCATGGGGGCAGAGTTCTTGTGAATGGGTCAGCACCATCACCTTGGTGCTGTTCTTATGATAGTCAGTGAGTGAGTTCTCATGAGATATGGTTGTTTAAAAGTGTGGAGGACCTCTTGCCTCTGTCTCTTGCTCCTGCTCCTCCATGTAAGACATCTGCTCCCACTTTGCCTTCTGCTGTAATTCTAAGTTTCCTGAGGCTTAATCCAGAAGGCAAGCAGATGCTGCCATACTTCCTGTACAGCCTGCTGAGCCATGAGCCAATTAAACCTCTTTTCTTTATTAATTGCCCCATCTCAGGCATTTCTTTAAATGTGAGAATGGACTATTACAACATGCTTCCCATTTTCCATCAGTATTAAATTTTTTTATAACCATTGTTTGCCAATTTATTAAGTAAATTAAAACTCACTGGCATCCTTTTTACCTTTTCATACTTCATTTCTTCTTCTTCTATTTTAGTCTGAATTGTTATTCCAATGTCTATTAGTCCATTCTTACATTACTGTAAAGAAATATCTGAGACTGTAGTTTATAGAAGCTTAACTGGTTCACGGTTCTGCAGGCCTAACAAGAAGCATGATGGCTTCTGGGGAGGCCTCAGGAGCCTTTCAATCAGGGCAAAAGGCAAAGGAAAATCAGGCTTACCCTTACATGGGTGGAAGTAGGAGGAAAAGAGAGAGTGGGAGGTGTGACACACTTTTAAACTACCAGATTTCATAACTCACTCAATATCACCAGAACAGCCCCAAAGGGGAAATCTGCCCTCATGATTTAATCACCTCCCTCCAGGCCCCATCTCCATCACTGGTGATTGCAATTAGATGTGAGATTAGAGTAGGAACACAGACCCAAACCATATCACCATGCATGTTTGTATATTTTCTATACATAGCAAATAATGTACAGCTTTGTCTTACATGCTTTAAAATTATATAATGACAATTCTGTCTCATTCCATGGTGTCTTTTTCTCAGTAGGATGCTTTAGTTTTTAAATGCATCCTAGTTCTCCTTCATGTACTTTAAAGGTATATGTTATTCCATATAGCAATATACACCATTTAGATATTCTTTTTTTATTAAAATGAGATTTGGGGCCATTTTATTACAATTAATTTTCTATGCCACCTTGTGCTCCATCTCTATCATCATAACCCTTTCCTCTCCAAGAGTAAAAATTTTCTTGAATTCTAGCACCATAGATTATTTTTTGTCTCTATGTAAACATACGTATAATATACTCCCTTCTTCTGGTGTCTTTCACCCAATGTGATTTATCCATATTGTTTTATGTTGTTTGTGTTGCTGTTTATTTCCACTGATGTTTAGTGTTTCAATGTGTGAATATTTTAGAATTTGTTCATTGATCCTACATTTGAGGACATATGGCTTGTTTGTAGCTTTGGTCTATTTTAAATGATGTTTCCATGAATAATGATGCACATGTCTTTGGGCACATGTTTATACACACTTCTTTTGTATGTATCCCACTGGTGAAATTACAAGGATGCCTTAGTCTGACTGGCATAACAAAAATACCACAGACAGAATGGCTTATAAACAACAGAAATTTATTTCTCACAGTTCTGGAGGCTAAAAGTCCGAGATCAAGGTGCTCACATGATCAGGTTTTTGTAGTGGCCCTCTTCCAATTGCAGGCTGATGATTTCTTGTATCCTCACTTTGCTAGCAGCAAAGAGAGGGAAAAAAATCTCTCAGGACTCTCATAAGGGCCCTATCTCCATTCATGAGAGCTCCACTTTTATGACTTCCTGTAAACTTAATTAACTCCTAGAGTCCCCAATTCCTTCTACCATCCTAATGGGAGGTAGGATTTTAACATGAATTTCTAGGGAGGAGCACAAACAGTACATTAGGAAGGGTATATGTATTTGCAGCTATATAGCTATATCTATATGCAGCTGTATCCCCCTACCCCCCAACTAACCCCAGTGTGTGATGGTCCCCTCGCTGTGTCCGTGTATTCTCATTGTTCAACACTGACTTATTAGTAAGAACGTGCAGTATTTGGTTTTCTGTTCTAGTGTCAGTTTGCTGAGAATGATGGTTTCCAGATTCATCCATGTCCTTTGCAAGGACATGGACTCATTAGTGGATATTTTAGCAGTTGGTATTACTATTGATACTTTGATGGTAATGTTTCTGTTTTCTCTATTTTGGGGATATTTTGTTTTTGTGTGTGTGTGTGTGTGTTTTTCAGGCATTCTTTGTCTTATAAAGATAGGTGTTTATACTACTTTTGGTATCTGTGACTTGATGGCTTTTGTCAGTTTTCAAAAGTTATCATCTGTTATCTCTTCAAATATTGAATTGATGCATTTGACCTATCCCCTCCCATTTTGCATCTTTGCATTAGACCATTTCACCATGTCTCAGATGTTTTTACACTATTTTTCTGTATTTTAAAAATATTTTTACTTCTTTTTTTCAATCAATTTTTCCCCTTTTTTGTTAGCTTCTTTTTCAACTTGAACAAATATACTAAATTGGATTGGCAGATGAGATTCACCCAAATCAGAGATCATACTCAATACCAAATATTACTAAACATTTCAAGAATACATTGTTGAAAAGGCTCAGATAATGCTGAGAGGGTTCTGGAACAGCAGTGACCAGTCCCCACTAGTGATGATTCCTTACTTCATTAGGCATATCCCTGCTGCTTGGAATAAATAAAGTCTCTACGTGAGAGATAATGTACAACTGAAAAATTATGTTATTTCCTGTTAAGTCCATTTAAACAGAATTTTAAGGATGACTACAATGCTGTTACTGTTCCTTAGCATTTTGTTTGAGATGATCTTCTTTATTCTACTTGATTCATTTCTTAAATTATAATAATTCATTGTTAAGCATCTGTCTTCCTTGTATTTCATTTATTAAATAGATTCTGTCTATAAATGTCTCACTACACTGCTTGTCATTTTTATCTTTTCATGACTTTATAAGGT